ATTTTTACATAGATTTTTTAAAATTCAACAGAAATTGCCTGACGAGCGGGGTTTGGGGGGGGGGGTGTCATTTTTCTTCGATTTCATATATTTGAAGAGCGCCTGGTTTCACCACGATGCCGTGCAATTAACATCGCAGGCATGTCTGTGTCGGATTACCTTCATCACCAAGGCGTGGCTCTATTTAGAAAGGGGTCTGCGTGACGGAGCTCGCTATCTGTTTCCGGATTGGGTCTTTCTGATAGCCTCGTACAGGGACCGTAAATACCATTGGCCTCGTAGTCTGTAGGTTATGAGGGACTAATCAGTTAGTTTTGTCGCACGTTACCTTCAAGTTTGCTTGTGGTGCACTCTTAAGTTCCACATAATCGCTACCTGTTTCAAGTATTATGTATTCTGAAACCATAGGCTTGAATCATGATTTATGCTAGACCAAACACAGTCAAGGCCACCTCTTTTTGCTCTCTAGGAAAACCTCACACCATGAACGCGCAAATGAAGAACAAAATAGCAGTCTGGTTATAGTTGAGTATTGTGTGCGCAACATTCCTTCCTTGTCCTGTATAATATATGGTTTCAAACATGGTGCGCTTCGTGGTGAACCGGAATTATGCCAGAGTGCAGAGTCTTGGATATCATAATACAAGTCTATAATTGTGCCCGTGACACACTCAACCACTGAAGGCATTTTCAACAGAGCATTGTCGACCGCCGAAATCTCTGGTTTGGAGAACATCTCGTATTAAGGAATTTCTACCTGGCGTCATAATGCCAAATTGGAAAAAGAGCGTAGAAACTGTGCTTTTGCTTCGGTTACGCCAAATTTCTAGAAATAGTCGATGGGCACGACAGGTACATGGTCTATAAGCACTGCTCAAAATGTGTCTGTAACACCATTTCTATTAACTTGGCGATTAATTTACATCATATGTGTGCTATTGCAGTGCTCGTCAAAATAATGAAATTGAAGAAACCGACATTTTCCCGCCCTTTGGACAATAATTGTCAATTTTCTTTTCATGGGCTCAGCACCTTTTATGTCTACTTAAAACACATTTCTGAATGGATTCTAAAACATATTATTGACAAAAAGTAAAAGCACAAAAATGTAAATTTGCAGTTTCCCAGGACACTCAAGCTTTAAATTTGAAAGTCAACAAACCTTAGCAGGCGTTTTCTCGCTAATTTTGCCCTTAACACCAGCGACCTCGACTTCTACTCAAGATAGATGGGTATTTTTCCTCCAAGAGCAAAACATGATCAAACTTTAAGATATGCCCAAAAATGTACGAGCGCCTGATTTCACCGCGTTGTGTATATTTATATATATAATCGTGGTCTTTGGAAAGCCAGAAAATATTTCTGTTTGTCTCGAAGGGGCACGACGATTTTAGATTAATTACGCGTACTCTGTGCATATCACATACGACGACACTAAGCTGCTTTTACTGATTGACAACAACCCCCCCCCCTCCGTCCGTACTTGAATTAATGTAAAAGCTATGTAGCCCCATAAAGAGTGGAGACCGCTGATATGCGGACTAAGTCAAGTGAGCTTCAGACAGAAGACTTAATTAAAATGTTACTTTTACCGTAAGTTGGTTAGATTTCGGACGATACTTTCCATCTAGACCCAGGCTAAATAAGCGATTTGACAACTTAGCAAGTCTCAAAATTTGTGACCAAAAAGCTGAAATTAATAATAATAATAATAATAATAATAATAATAATAATAATAATAATAATAATAATAATAATAAGAGTAGCTAGGCGCTTCACGCTCAAATCAACGTTTCATTGATACCGGCTCATTCAACATACAACAATTCTTTCAAATACACACTCGTAATATAAAAAGAACATATGCACAACTGCCGGTTAGTGGCATTCTTTTTTGGTATCTTTTTTGAGAAGGGCATCCACGGATAGAATTATGGACTTTGAGCAATTTCTCGGATTACACAGTTTTTAATTTTGTCTCGCCTGGTCTTGTTTACTGCTTTTCTAAGGCGTCGCATTTCGCAAAGAATTACAACATGTGAAATGCGATGCCTTAGAAAAGCAGTAAACAAGACCAGGCGAGACAAAATTAGAAACTGTGTAATCCGAGAAATGGTAGGCACAAATGATGTCATGCATCACATCCAACACCAACAAATCAAATGGTTCGGGCACCTCCTACGACTACCAACATACCATCCAGCACAACGTGCCTACCTCCAAAAATTTGATGGCAACAAGGCTAGAGGGCGACCGAGAAAGACCTGGATAGATGGAGTCAGGGAAACATTAAACACCCACGGCATCCCCCTGACCCAAACTCTCCGGCTGGCGACAGAGAGACGTCTCTTTCTTCCCGCGACTCCCAAAAGGGTATAAGCGGCGGATAAAAGTAAAGTAAAGAGCAATTTCAGGTAGGTTACTTTTGCCACCTTTAATCAACACGGCAACGTTTGTTTGAACGTGAATTTCAACCTCGATATCCTTTATGTATGCTAATTTTTTTATATTAATGACACACAACAGTTTTAAAATGATACTAATATAATGAATGTCATTTATAATTTATTCTGTTTTCACGGAGGTCTCTTCTGTGAAATGTGTATGTTTTATGTGATGTGCGCCAATGGCATTGAACACTGAATAAAACAACTACCTCTCTGATGTATAGCTTAAAATGATTGACTTTGAGCAATTTCAAGTGGGTTGCATTTGCGACCTTTAATCAATGTGATATATTTCGTTTGAACGAGAATTTCACCGTTGATAATATAGAATTATTGACTTTGAGCAATTTCAGGCAGGTTACTTTTGCCACGCTTATCCATTGTAGCATATTTTGTTCAAACTTACCCTCAATACCCTCCAAAGCAACCAAACTTTTAGCATTTTTGGGGGGTCAAGTCCAGTTGAAAATGCCCTGAGGTAAGGGCAAAACTAACAATAAAATACGATATTTTACAAGGTAAAAGTTGGGGGGGGGGGGGGGCGTACACCCGACAGGCAAATAATATGTTAATAGGAAATAATATAAACAAGTAGCTAAAAATGTACTCCCGGTTTTCCTCGGAAGAGGTAAAAGGTTACATTACCTTATCATAAAATGAATTCGTGCACGTGAGCAAAAAAAAAGCCACCCAATTTATATGAAAATGCACCCCCGTTATCATAATTCCACATACACACCTGCATCAAACCTGTAACTGTAATTTTACTTAGCCTACCTATAATGCTACACATACCTACATACCTGAGCCAAATTTATAGACTAATAACGGGAGGAGTTACGCTGAGGTCACTGGGCAAACTATACAAGAGTTAGGGTTAGGGTTAGGGTAGGGTTAGGGTATACCCTGCTCAAAATATCCCCTCTTTTGTGTGTTGTTAGTCGACCGGCCCTCTTCGGAAATCCTTTCCGAATAACTCCAATTTTATTTTCACAAAACTATAATTTCAACAATGTTAACAGCGGACAAAAATAAATTTCCTTTACCATTAATGAAACTTAAATAACAATGGAGGAAACAACATTAATCGTACGCCATCCAAGATCAGGAATGCTTTACCCAGTAGTGTTTAAGAGAGATCACATATTTTTATTCATTCAAATGCCAGCTAAAATTATTTCAGTTTCTATTATCACAATACGTCTTTTACTACTACTACTACTACTACTACTACTACTACTACTACTACTACTACTATTATTATTATTATTATCATCATCATCATTATTATACCATCATCATAATTCTACCCACTACTGTGCCAAACCTATAATAACTTATAAAAAGAAAAAGCAAATGTTCCTATTTATTACTAAAAAATAGTTTTGTCTCTTTCAAGCTTGCACAAATAATATGAGCTTGCTTAATTGATGGTTAGCTCGTAAAGAGGCAGCTTGCTTCAATCTCGTTTACTGGGGTCAACATAGGATTGGGATACAGCATTCCAGTAGAAAGGCGGAGGCAGTCGATTTAATAGATTTCCACAGTCGGGAATCGAACTCGCGTCTCTTTTCAACAACAGCGAAGACCCAAACCATTATACAACGACCTGGGGCATCTACACGTGTGATTAATTTTTCATTCAGTGAAGTCTGATGGGGAACTTTGCAGAGGATTTCTGACAACAATATGTGAAAAAGCCAGAATAGAATAGATGACAGCTTTCTTTATATGATTTATTATCAGCTACCGGATAATTTAGAAAATTTACTTTCGTGTTAAATTGTGGTGTGATCTAAATCTAAGTCCCGACAACATAATATCCATCAGCCCATCGCCGTAGATACATTTCGATACGGTCGATATATATTATCGAAGGAAAAAAATGCAACAAACAAACAAAAAAACAACTTTAGAGGTCCTCGTTATGTCTGTCAGTAAATCCAGTTCAACCAAAAGAAAGTAAAAAAAGTAAAATTCCAACACATTTCTTGTTTAGAAAAAGAAATGTGAGACCTCTATGTCTAGATTTGAAACCTATTCTGGAGTTCGAGATCAGCGCCTTTAGCTGTCACTTGAAAGTTTTCGACTTACAGTTGTGGATTACAAGCACTTTGAGACGACTTATTTGAACAATAAAAGAAACTGCACAATAAATAAAGCAAATTGAATCAAAAGCCAGTGGCTTACATAAAACTTAAAAAAGACTGGATTTCCCTGTCATAGTTAAGACTATTAGTCTGCTGGTATCAGTCATAAGTCACACCCACCCCAAGCTCGATGTCAAGAACCATTGCTCGCACGAAGTGTGTTAAAGGTTTTTGGGGAGAGTAATCAGGCCGAGTAAATAGAGCATGTTATTTCTAAATAGGCGAAGTACAATTTCGACTTTTTCCATTGTAAGTATTTGATGTAAAGTTAAGTTCTCTTGTACAGTTAGATCTAGATCTAGATGTATATAAAAATGATACAGAAATAATCCCATAATGATAGTGAACACAAAAAAAAAAAAAAAGCACAAAATAAAACAAATTCAGTCGACTTTTATTTTACCTTGTTCGGGTCGCCCGTGGAATGTGAACCTACAGGTCAATAAATCGTGGCCTGTGTGCGCGCACGAAAACCCGTGGTCCCATAGACACGCTCGGCAAAATAGTGGCAAAAAGTACACGGGTTGCTTGCTGACTTTACCCCCAACAACCACCACCTCACTGGCGCGGTGTGTCTCGTGTCTACTACCACTGTTGCTGTGCGTTCGACCACAACGACCAGGACAGCGAAGGGGGAACTGGTACGTGCTCTTTTCTCCCGAGTCGTGTTGCCTGCCGCCCATTTGTTGACACAGCACCGGGCACCACGTACGGGAGCTCCATAGTGACTTTGACCTACTTGCAATACTTGCATGTATGTAGGAAGACACGCAAGCACGCAAAAGTATACAGTATACGCATTCGTAACATACATAGACACTAAATGGAATCTCTCTCTCTCTCTCTCTCTCTCTCTCTCTCTCTCTA